CCTAACCTGCCACAGATTGTACCATACCTACATGTAAACTGCAAGTGTGTGTGTGTGTGTGTGTGTGTGTGCTTCTAAGCAACCAAACTATATTGGAGAATTTCAAACAAGGGCTTGAATTTTTGGCAATCAAGAATATATTGAGAAAGTATAACTTCTTGGCCTTTTTAGAAGACAAACTACATAATGTTGTTAAGCTATGGAGTGCAAACTATAAATATAAAAGCAAAAGAGTGGATAGAATAAGATAATGTACATGACAGTTGTCTGTTCTAACACTAACCAGATGATGTAAATCTGGCTCACAGAATATGTATTTCTCCATCTTCATGTAATGATATACATAATATTGCCTCCAATGTCTCTCTGAAATGCAAAAAAGCCAGGCACTGTTTCATACATATGATATATGAATAAAGAATGATAAAAATATTTTCAAAATCTAAAAGATAGAATCTGAAAGGAATTTAATAAAATGCTAAAGATAAGGTGAAAGACAAAACTTAAAAAAAATTCAAACCAGGATTAAGGAGTAACTTTTTTCCTGGAACTTCATAATAAAAAATCTGTGGACTCAGTGAACAATATAGATGTCACTGAAAAAATATGAATAAACTGTCTTATACTGGATGAAAAGTTGCAGACATCACAGAAAATGGTAAAATTAACAGTATATCTTGCTCAGGAAAACAATACAATGGAAATACTAAAATAATTGGGATATTTTGAGGTACAGACAATAATCTTGTACTTATAGGAAGGACATTTCATTTCTCCCTTTCCTCTGATTTCCCATACTTTCTAGCTTCTTTTCCTTGTCCAGAAAACATCTAACAACTTGATAAAAGTTTTTAAAAAGTCAGTATAAGTGGTTGACTATACACGTATCAAGTTCCAGATGTGTTTAATTAGAAAAAAAAGGGAGAGTCATTTGCTCATGTACAGTCAATATACGCTATGCTGTTGAATGCTGATAATAGACACATTTTATTGTTATCGTGTGAAATATCAATACGCAAAATCTTTTCACTGATTAAAAGAGGGGGAAAATACAGAACTAAATTTTTTTTAAGCAAAAGCTGAATTTCTGAGGCACAATTTTGTGTCAAGGGTTGAGTTTAGCAAATCTTCTAGTTGTGACATAATAAGTTCTGTTTGCAATCATGTCTAAAAAGCATGTTCCAGTTATATCAGCTACTCTCCAGGGGACTGATTTCACCCTTTAGCTTTTTAAACCTATCGAGTATGATTTCTTATCTCTTCCTTGAGTTTTTGAGTACTATATAGTCAGATTTGAGTGCTATACAGAAAAAAAATGTATATTATGTGGTGGTACAGCATATTCAACCGAGTGGTACTGGAATCTCCCAAGTTTATTGTTCTTGGCAATCTCAGCTTCCACATACATAATGTCAAGCATACCCTACCATCTGATCTCAATGAGAGACTAAAGGAGAGCTCAAACTATTAGCTTATCAAAGAAAACATTATGAGGCAACTTGATCATGGTCTATAATTACCTATACCAGGAGAAGATATCTGATACCAGAGGGCTCTTTAATCTATCAGACAAAGGTGCTACAGGATTCTGTAATTAAAAGGTGAAGTCAGCAAAGTTCAACGTGGAAATAAAATGCAGATTTTGAACATGTATGATAATTCACTGTTGAAAGTGCTTACCATGGGATGTGATGCATAAACAGTCCAAAACCAAGCTGGACTGTGATTGAAGGGAAGGAGCAAGGAACTCTGGCATACATCCAGGGAAAACCGGGTCACTGTTCTACCTTTCAGCCAGTCTCTGTTGAGATCAGTCAGGATAGCAAAAATGAAAAGTAATTATGTCCTTAATGGCCACAATGATTCCAATATTAGCACTTGTTCTTATCTCCAAATCACTCCATGCAGATCTTGAAGATTATTGTGATTCACCATTTCTTTCTTTCCAGCTTTCTTCTAAGATACAGTGAATCTTTGAGTCTTTCAGAAGCTAATTTATATTTTGATTGTTATTCTTTCTGAAATACAATGCCATACTTTTGGTGCAGAGCAGGGGTCAGCTGCTGGCACCACCACCATTGCTCTCTGCTACCTGGCCACAATATGGCAAGTGCAAAGCACCTAGCTACTGAAGCCTCCTGCTGATGAATACCACTAAAGCCTCACCTCCAACCCCTGGTTACCATTTCTGGTGTAGGGAAGAAAAGAGGCTTTACAAAATATTTGTGTGTTTGTTTTTATTGCTAATAGAATCCATAACAAGTACAGTATATTATAAAATTGAACTAGGAAACTTTTGACATATGATAACCCATCACTAACACCTGAGACTTTAGCAAGGCTTTTGATATGGTCTCCCACAACATTCTTGCAAGCAAGCTAAGGAAGTATGGGTTGGATGAATGAACTATAAGGTGGATAGAAAACTGGCTGGATTGTCAGGATCAAAGGGTAGTAATCAGTAACTCAAAGTCTAGTTGGCAGCCAATATCAAGTGGACTGCCCCAGGGGTTGGTCCTGAGGCTAGTTTTGTTCAACATCTCTATCAGCAGTCTGGAAGATGGGATGGAGTGCACCCTCAGCCAGTTTGCAGATGACACCATGCTGGGGGAGTAGTAGATACACCAGAGGGTAGGGCTAGGATTCAGAGAGACCTTCATAAATCAGAGGATTGGACCAAAAGAAAGCTCATGCAGTTCAATAAGGGCAAGTTCAAGTCCTATACTTAGGGCGGAACAGTCTGCGTACCGGTACAGGCTGGGGACTAACTGGCTAAGCAGCAGCTCTGCAGAAAAAGACCTGTAGGTTACAGTGGACAATAAACTGAATATGAGCCAACAGTGTGTCTTTGTTGCCCAGAAGGCTAACGGCATACTGGGATGTGTTATTAGGAGTGTAGCCAACAGATCAACAGAAGTGATTCTTCCCCCCTATTCAGCACAGGAGAGGCCACATCTGGAATACTGTGTCCAGTTTTGGGAACCCACTACAGAAAGGATGTAAAATTGGAGAGAGTCCAGCAGAGGGCACCAAAAATAGGTGGCTGGAGAACATAACTTCTGAGGACAGGCTGAGGGAACTGGGCTTATTTAGTCTGGAGAAGAGAAGACTGAGAGGGGATTTAATAGTAGCTTTCAACTACCTGAAGGGTAGTTCCAAAGAGGATGGATCTGGACTGTTCATAGTGGCAGATGACAAAACAAGGAGCAATGGTCTCAAGTTGCAGCAAGGGAAGTTTAAGTTAGATATAAAGATAAACTTTCTAACAAAGAGGGTAGTAAAGCACTGGAACAGATGACCCAGAGAGGTTGTGGAATCTCCATCCTTGGAGGTTTTTAAGACTGAGCTACACAAAGTCTTGGCTGGGGTGATCTAGTTGGGGATGGTCGTGATTTAAGTGGGAGTTGGACTAGATGACCTCCTGAGGTTTCTTCCAACCATAATTTCCTATGATTCTATGAGCGCTAACGTAAGATATATTACTAAACATTTAAGGGAAAGTACCCTCCCCCTGCCACCAGCTTAAAGCAGAGCGCTGGGTATCTGTACAGACAAATAAAAATGGTCAGGGAAATTCCAAGGGGGGCAAGGGGGTCATGTTTCTTTATAAACTGGAACTGGAGGAAGGTATCTTCTAAAGAGGTTGGAGAACATGGTTGAGGCGCCTAATACCTGGTACAGTGGGTGCATCTACATGTGGGCTTAACTGCGGAATAGTCTAATTAGCTCCACAATATAGCATCACAGTCTACACATGCACTGGTATTATGGCAGAATAATTTACTGTGCTGAAACGCATGTGTGGATGCTGTCTCTAGGCGTAAATTGCACCCTGTCAGCCTAGCCAGCCCTGGACCTGCTCCACCCCGGCTCAGATTGTTGCTGTCCCAGGTGCACATGTAGATGCTCTGCCTGGGAGCAGTTTCCTCTGGCTCCAATGGCTCCAGAGTTCATTGCATCACATTAATTGCACATGTAGCTACACCAAGTGAGGGGCAAATTCCCTTTTCCTACCCCCCTCACCTTTGTATGAGACAAAGATGGCAGAGTCCAAGCAATAGACTAGAGACCAGCGATGGAAGGGTTAGGAGTTGACAGCTATCTTATAACAGATGAAAATGATTAAGGAAGAAATGATGGCCCTCACTGTACAAAATATTTCCAGATATTTCCCAGATGAATTTAGTTAATAAAACTGAAGCCTAATTAAACCACATCCTTTGCATCTTGTCTGTCTTCTACTGTGCAAATATGAAATAGGCAAGTTAGGAATTAGTGATTGCATCAGGTCTTGTAACAGTAAGTCAAACCTTAAGCTCAGATCATGACTACTTATAAAATCAGTGCTATTTTCCAGCTATTTTACTTTAAAATATTTTTGTATTTTGGTTAAATTACACAGGAATAGAAAGTCACCATAGTATGCTAATGATTTGCAATATTAAAATACAATTAACCTTAGAAAACTGAATGCAACAATGATATTTTGTTATTTCCTTGTGTTGGTAGATGAAGAGCAAAGTATTTCTAACTTGTAGCCTAGGAAGCTGACTTAGAGATTTCAGTATCCATTTATGTTATTCTTTGCCTTTATACAACTCAGTGGCAAAATTTAAATTCAGGATACCCATCTTAACTTGCAACTCTGTCTTGTACATTTGGTAGAGCTTACTTATCTGTAGTCTATTCACTCTGCATTGCTTGACTGTGGGATTTTTTTTTTTTTTGTCTACATAAAATAGTGTGATATGACACAGCAGAAGCAGATTTATCCAATATCACGTTGCCATATTTGCAAACACTTCTCAAACTGTAATCACAATTTATTTTATTTTTTAACTAGCTTTTCTATTTAACTGCTAACTTCATGTTTTTGCATGCCATCAAGTTCAACAGGATAATCTTACCCTCGCTTATTTGATACGTAACACTTGCTGTGTTCTTATGCAGTAGTGTCAAAGCAAACATCTAATAAATGTCTACTTCCTTTTTTATTTTAGGTTCTTGCCTACACCGAAGGTCTTCATGGAAAATGGATGTTCAGCGAAATTCGAGCTGTTTTTTCAAGACGTTACCTTCTTCAGAACACTGCTTTGGAGGTGTTTATGGCAAACAGAAGTATGTATCTTTGTTTGTTTGTTCTGTGTAAGCTAGTTTCTGGTCAGTTTTATTGATGGTATCCATTCATCCTCAAACTAAAACTCTATACTTCATTTTGAAAAGTTCTGCTGCTTTTCCTTTTCTTCTCATTTTTTCTTTATTCACTATATCTAAAATAGAAATTGTTGAGGCCAGCAAATTGGACTTTACTTTATCACTGTGATTATGATGAACATTGATGGACAATCAAATTGATAAATGTGGCAACCACTTTTCAGGAATGTTTGTTCAGAATACTAAGCAAATTTCCTTTTGTTTTGTTTTTGTCCCTTTTGCTTTCATGTTCTGTAAGTGTCAAGCTCCCTCAGATGTGAATTGTAAGACTGAATAGTTGGATATATGGTGAATATGCAGTTGCTTAAATTAACTAAAAGGAAACCTTAAAAAATTGTAATTCTAAAATAAATCTTGAAAATTGTGCTGTTAATTAATTTTTGTAAGTTGTTTGTCATTTTGTGCTCTTTATACCAAGCAATACCATCAGAAACGTCATATATAAGACACATGGTCAGAGCACATGATACATAATGTAACTTAACTAATGAAAAACACTACAAATTGATTTGATTTTTTTCAGTGAACTGTTAGCAAAAGCTTCTCTGAGATAGAATTTATTTATTGAAAAAGCCTTATATAATTTTGAACAATGAATTCAGTCTTACAATTTGTTTTTTTGAGAGAACTTACACTATTAAAGAATTTTGTAGTTTTGTCCCTAAATAATTCATAACCAGTAAAAATGATATCTATTTAATAGTATGAAATAATTGTTTTTGAATTATTAAATTTTTGGGCCTGGTTTGTTTAATCCATTTTAGTTGGTTAATTAGTCCACACTTTTATTGAATAGGTAATGGTTTAATATTTCAGAATGCGTCTGGAAGTAAATCCTTTCTCCTACCACTCCTGTAACATTTAAACATCCATAGGACCAGTGCAGTTAAAGCACACTCATTTCACAGAAGGAGCACATAAGGGAGCTGATATCATACTGGACTGCCTTTGGTTCCCCAGCCCAAATGATCAGGTACCAATTTAGAACCATGTCAAATGGAAGGAAGTCTTTAGCACAAGTCCACAAAGGGGCTCAGTCTCATGTCTCTGGAGCCATAATTAGATGCCTTTATTCACTCTGCTAACAAGTCCCTCCCTCCTGTGACATGGCACGTATTGATTTTCCTAGTCCCAAACTGACAAGAACATAGAGTCCAGTCACATAGGAAAAGACTAAAGTCACGTAACCAGTTCTGTTATCTTTTGAAAAACTGAACCCAGTTCAAGCATTGCCTTAAACCATGTATAGTAGTAAAACCCAAATGTATATTAACACTTATTCCATACTATGGCCATTGTGTTCCTAGCTGTGCTCATCTTTAGGATAAAATACCTTCAAATGGTATTTTATTTAACAATACCTGACATTGTTGCAAATCAGAAATCATTTTCCCACCAGCTGGCTCTTTAGAGCACGTTCACCAAAATATTCATAAATCCAGTGGCCTTACCACAAAAATACAATATAACCACCTGGACATTCTGTAGAGGTGGGTGTCAAAACACTGTTACCTACCGGTCTTCTCCACAGAAGCAAATAGCTGATAAAATGTGTCAACAATCTAGTCACCATGTGAGATCAGTAAAGTAAGTAGTGACCTGCAACTCAAGAAGGAAGAAATGTAGCCAGTCTCTGGTCTGCTGGTCTACTGAGTTTTAAATGCATCAGTCATCAGATTAATATCTTAAAACTGATTGCAGAATTTAACAGCTTAATCAGAGAGTTCAGCATGTGATGCACCATCTTCCTTTTAGGAAAAAAATTATATCTAGGCTTGGCAGAATTCAATGTTTATTTTTTATTTTTTTAAATAATTTTCATTTGGTGTTGCTTGGTATAAAATAATAATTTTGAACAAAGAATTCAGTCTTACAATTTGTTTTTTTGATAGAACTTACACTATTAAAGAATTTTGCAGTTTAATAATTCATAACCAGTAAAAATGATATAATATTTATTTTTTTTAAATAATTTGGACAGCTAAAATCAATGTTTGTTTTTAAGCATTTCTTTCATTTTTTTTTTCAATTTAAATTTTCAGAATTGCATTGAATTAGAGGGGTGGGAGCAGACAATTTAGTAATCACTAGGGGTGCTAATTACTAGGGATGCATGATAGAGATTTCTGGGGCCGATACTGATATCTGATTTTTAAGGAGGCATATTGGCTGATATCAGTCCGATTTTTGATAGCAGCCTGGCAGCTTGGAGAGCTCAGTGCAGCTGGTAAGTCTGGTGTGGTGGAAGGGGAGTGGGGAGGGAAGGTGTGTGTGGGGAGGAGCAAATCAAGGCCCCCAAGGTGAGGGAGTAATAGGGCAGGGGCTGGAGCAAGCGCTGGAGAAGGGGGGAGGAGGATGGCTCCCGCCACTACATGCTACTTATCCAGGAGCTGCTGGTCCGGCACTCGCTCTGGCAATTCCCACTGCTTCTCCCGCCGCTCATCCAGGCAGGCATGGGGCGGGGTGGTGCCCCTGGATCTGTGCAAGGTGGGGTGGGTTCAGGCCAGGGCTGCACAGGATTCTTCACCACCCGCCCCTCCCCCACGCAGATCTGGGGGCACAACCCCCGCCCCATA